CGCTGGAAAAAAAGCAAGCCAGGTCCCAAACCGAGCCCTTCTAAAGAGGAGTAGAAGTGTCCAAAAGGATTTGTGTATCATCTCACAGTTTTCTAGGAGGGTGGCATTTTCCCTGTGTCATTGTTACTTTTCAAACTTTCCAGGAAAACAAGTCCGATGCTCACAGCTGGTAGCCTCTACCTAGCACAAACATTTATTTCCAGATGATGAGAAAAGATACGTTAGCTGTTCCTTTTCTCTGCATAGGGCTGTTTTTGTTTGGTTTTTTTGTTTTGTTTTGTTTTTTTAATCTCACAAAGGAGGAGGAAAGAGGACCAAAAAAGGGGACTTCCACATCTATCTCTTTTCTTTCTTGGCTATCCATTTGAGTAATAGTCTGAACATTACCGGTGTTCAATTAGTTATCCTTTTCAAACACATGGCTAATTAAATGACTTGGTAATGTTAGGTTAATGGTTGGACTGGATGATCTTAAAGGGCTTTTCCAACCTAAACGATTCTATGATTCTATGAAATGTTAATAGCACGAACAGGCAAAATATTTTAAAACACCATAAAACTCACAAACGTTTGAGACATTTTGAATGCCATAGTCTAGACGCAAGGTAAAGCCAGAGCAACCTAGATGAGGGGAGATCGTGGCCTGAAGCTTCCCACTTCTCTGACTACTTAATATTGACAAGCCTCATTAAAACATACTGTATTTTGAAATCCTCTTCAAATAACGATGGCCTCAAGGAGAGCAGGTAGCTTCTTTCAATTAGTTCTGCTTTTCTTAATTCTCTCCAGCAATCACACTTGGAAAAAGAATCAAGTAATCATGTAATCTCTGAGAGTCTGAATAAATAACAGAGGTAAGAGGGAGCTTTTAATTGCATTCAAGCAAAAGAAATGGGCTGTAATGTAACAACACTGGAAGAAGAGGTAAGGGAATCATTCCAGTTTAAGCGAAAGGGAGAAGAGTTTGGTCCAGTACTGAATGTCCAGTAAGGCACAGATATTACAAACAGAACATTCAGGGCCAGAAATAAGACCAAAGCTCTTAAATTTCTCTGGCATCCAATGAATTCCAACATCTTTTTTCTTTCCTTATCAAACAAAACTTACTTGCAGTAGAGAATGACTTTCACATGCCAGAGTCCACCTGCCATTCAGTATCAAGCACCTACAGCAAAGGACCTGGAAAAGTAAATCACAATGGCTGGTTCCTAACCCACACCTGTAAATACAATTTTCAGAAGCTAGAGCCACAGGTACAGTATTAAAACAGCAAGGGAGCGCACTGAAGGACCACCAGTTTGACGAGCCAAGAAGTTCCATAGCCTCTCCCTTTCATTATTCCTAACTTTTTGGCCCATTTGCTCCCCAAATCACAGTACTCTGAAAGTCAGGACAACCTTTTATCAGCTTTTGAGACACCTGTGGGGAAAGTTTAAGAGCAGATAAATAAGATGGAAATGGAAGTGGGCTCAGTTTTCCCTACCCCTGCTCTTCAACAATTTATACATGAATGTCAGGCAGCACCTGGCATTGCTCTTTAAACAGCTGGCAGCGCTCTATAAGGGGCCAATGAAAGGTACTGTGATAAAGTTACCTTGTCACAATCAAGCGTTTCTCAGTAACTCAGCACACAATAGATGGAGGCTTGATTAAACAGCAGACAAAGAATGAAAAGCCCATCTGGAATCAAGGTGGCTGTAAGCTCTTGGGGTTAAGTGTACTGTAGAGAGCCAAAATAAGGTGACACAGTAAACAGATCTGGTTCAATAAGGCTTTATTATCTTCCTGTAGCCACACACCTTTGCAGAATATACCTAAAGTGCCAGCTCAATTTTCCCACCCATCTTGCTTTGGTATGGAATCAGTGCTGGTCGAACCTCCTCCTTCAGGAACTTTGCCACCTGTTCAAGAAAGACAGGAAAGAGAAAATTAGCAAAAGAAAGGGTTCCCTTCTCCTCCCCATTCAGACCTACTTGTCTCACCAGGGTCTCCGTTTCACAGAGACACCTAGCAGTCTGATATGGCAGGGTCAAAAATGTGAAGCCCACAGGGAAAGACAAGGAAGCCAAGGAAAATAAGAGAAACGTGTCTGCCTTAGTAGTATGGGCAGAGGTACATAATGTGTATGCTCTCTGGCACACAAGAGGATGCAGGATTAAACAACACATTGCATTACAGCCTGTAACACCCACAGCCTCTTTCCACTACTTTACCTGCTGAGGAGCACGTCCAGTGAAGGAGGAGGGATCCAACAGGCTTTCAAGTTGTTTATGGATAGGGCTGAAGTAAGGATCAGCGCGGACACGGGCAATGAAGTCATTGTCACCCCCTTCCTGTTTTACAACAGCAGCTGCTTGCTGGGAGAGAACACGAATTTTCTCGTGGCAATCCTGTAGGAACAGGGGGAAGAGGAGGGGAAAGGAAAAAAAGTCATTCCATTGCTACTGACAGCACATGTTCATCCCGCTAACTTGTGCGGGAGAGAGAAACATCAATGCATACTGCACTGGACAGCATACAAATGAGACACAGCTTGGACTGCAGTGTCTCATATAGCACTATAATAAAACAAGATTTTCTTCATCCTTCCACATCTGCCCTTTGAGGCTAAACCAGTCTGAATGACACATACGTTCCCTGTTCAATTATACCACAAACTTACGACACTGGAATCTTTTACACTTCCTCAAACTCCCCAAATACTCTTAGGAGTCACTACGGGATTTTTTTTTTTCAGTTGTCCTATGCCCTACTTGCATGATTTTTCCAAAGACGGACTATAGTAGCTGTTCCCAAAACATTCCATGAACTGTAATAAAGGAATTCCTTATTCACCACTAGTCATCCCCTGTATGAAACATCTTGGGAGCATAACAATGTAAAACATCTACAGGTTTGGAAAAGGGAAAAGAACCTAACTTAGTGAGCAGTGAGACTATGTAAGCCATGGCTTACTTAAGGACAGACTGAAGGGAAAAAAAACCTTACAAACCTGAGGGCCTTAAGACATTCTCTCCCAAACAACCCGCACATGACACTAAGACTGGCAAAACCCTTACAATAATTTTTCCAAAACACTTCCTAATCCCTTGATTTCCTATGGAATCACTCTGTAAACACAAGGGAACCCAACTGTAGTCAGGGACCACCTGCAAAATCAGATGCTGCCATGCTGGCCCTAAACTACAGTTATGTGGTTGCATTTACAGCCATGTAAGAATCTTCTCACATGTATTTTCCTTGATCTATTTTCAGTTAGGAGGAAAATGATCTCCTGTTCCTTGTTTCCTCCACCCAAAGGCCATCTTGCTCCAGCACTGACCTGCCTCAGGTGAATTCAGATCTGTCTTCTGGATGTTTAGGGGAGGGAGCTGTTCAGCGGTGGGGAAAGGAAGTGAGTTTCTATGCTATGAGGTGGGAAAGCATAGAAAATGTGCTGTTCTGGAGTTCCCAGCACATGAAAACAGAACATACTGATGTGAATAAGAACAGATTTTATAAGTGTACTGAACTCTACAGATTTGTAATTAAACAGCACCAGAAAGAAGGCAGGCCGATAACAAAAACAAATGAAATTCAGTCTTCAATCTAATCGAAACAGAGAGGACTGTTTAGGTAAGTATGGGATAGAAAGAGAACCAGCTGAAAAGATAATGAAACTTATCCACATGATGTGACCCTTAATAAGTTTAGTTAAGAAGCTTACTGACTGGCCCAGTGACAAACATCAGAGGCACACAGAGGAAAAAAAAAAAAAAAGGAAAAAGGATTTTTCCTAATGTCACGGGTGAGTTGCCAGAAGTGTTTTAGAGAACTAGAACCACATATCCTACTCAAAGCTTCTTGAAAAACCCTTTCACTATTACTATCTTGCAAGCTTAACTTCTGTTCCTGATGTGGAAATAATCATAGAAGGAAAAATCACTATCTAAAGGCAAGTGAAAATAAGCTGGTTTATTAAGATGTAAATTTGATTATCAAACTGAATTGCAAAATTAAATGGTAAGGAAATATAATCTAATTGTGTCTGGATTTATTTACTAAGGAAAACATTTAATTTCAATTTGCTTGAACACAGAAAACTGAATGAAGGACCATAAACAAAGTTAATAATAAAAAGCACTATACTGAGTTAGAGAAGAGTGACACATGAATGAATGGTTCTGAATGGTCCTACTTGCTTTTTTGTTAACAGCACTGATTCATTCTTTTAATTTCTAAGGTAGCCAACTGCCAACATGTTCCCATTTAAAGAAGCCTGGTCTGTGTTCCAAGTTTCTTCAAACATTTACAAAAGGAAAACGCCTACTACTATCTAATATAAAAATAGGTCTCCCTCTTCTCCAGCAAAGAGAGCCAAATTAGCTCAAACACACAGTGTTCCTAACAGTAAATACGGATCTCCACAACTGCTCTCTCCTCAGAGAGCAGAGTCTGGCTTTGCAGCACCAGTGTAATATTAATAACTCTGTGGGAGCAGGTGGAGGACAAAGAAAGGCAAGATGGTCGGGACAAGCACCCAAGTACTTTTGTTTCTCAGGAGTGAAATGCCAGGCAATGAACAAAAGTATTTTTGACTGCATTTGTACCTGACGATTGCCCCCTGCTTTCACCATCGCCATGATTATATTCTCTGTGGCCATGAATGGCAGCTCCTGCCGGATCCTCCTCTCAATCACCTTAAACAAAACAAAACAAACAGAAAAAAGAAACAGCATTATAGCAATTCTGTACACAGCTGGGACTCCCACTGAAGTTTCCTCTCCCTTTGAATCTCCAGGACTGGACAATGATGGAAAGATAATTTCTCTTTCTGAACTTAGCTACAGAAATCCAAGTATTGAAGCTGGTAATACTTCGAATCTATATCTTGTAAGGGACATTACTGTGGAAAATATGTTCAATGAATTTTTTTTTTTCACCTGTAGGTAAGTTACAGGACTGTACGAATCTGCCCTGCCAGTATCTTTTGGTGGTAAGTTCTACAGATCCATTGTGTAGTTCAGGGAAAAATATCCTTTTTGAGAAATTTTTAGTTTACTACCTTTTGGCTTCAACAAGTACCCTTTCATGTCTGTCCTGCAAACAGTGAGACTATAGCAAGAATGGAGAGAAAAATCCAGAAACTGTTTGAACTAACAGATAACAATGTAATCCTTTGAGTGGGAGGATTTTTATACACTTTGGTATAGCTGCGGCATTATCAAGGATGCAACACTGCACACATTATCTCCTGCTTTACCTTTGGATATACCACAAGTCCCTCGGAGATATTCTGCAGTGTACTCAGAATGATGTCAGCTGTGAGGAAAGCCTCAGCCAGACACACGCGCCTATGAAACACACATACCCAGGGCCCCAGTTAGCAATAAAGGCCATGTTCCAGTCTACCTCAGATGGAGCTCTTTAGTTTCTGTAAATAGCATTACTGTGGCCCTAAAGCTGGAACTGTTCTCCTTATAGGTGCTTCTTGTTGCTTAAAGGTCACAACCAGGAAAGCTAAAGAACCTCTTACAGCAGTAGCTCTCAAGCTGGGGAGACAGGAGGGTTCCAGGGTGGGGTTTTTTTTCTTTTGTGTCAGGAGAGGAAGAGAAAAGGTAAAGGCACACATAGAAAGCTCCAAGCTAATTCAATGATTACGCAGCTAGGAAAGAGGGCAGCCATTTACAGAGCTAGCAAACACGTGAGACTATCTTCCCCTGTGTTCTGTGTTGCCCTGTCTACTGATCCTACACTCCAGGAGTAAGACATGCTGCACAGTCATGCTGTGCCTGGCTGTGCTTAGTGGGGAACTTTCAAAGTGATCCATGCATTTGGTGGCGGGCTTCCTCCAAACCAGCTCCTGGTCACAAAGGAGGCTCCTGACAAAGAAGAATGACAAAAAGGAAAGGAGGGAAAGGAGAGAAGTAGTGCGGACTGAGCTGTATCAGGCAAAAAGCTCCGTGTCACAGTGTAGCAATTACAGCATCATCCATCTGTGACAGCAGTGCCTGGCCCATTCTAAACTGTGATCTTTTAACATATAATAGTACTTGAACCTTGTGCTGCATTTAAGGCCCCCAATTCTATCACACTGTCTTCAAAAGGACTTTGCTGTTTTGTAGGTTGATTGCATTTTCTCTGGCTTGCTCTCCTTTCAAAATACTATAGCTTTAAAAAGAAAAATCCAAGGCACAGAATTTTTTAATTGGATTATGAAGAGGGCAAGTGACCCTTTCTATCAGATGAGATGAAAAAAACATTTGAAACATTCCAGTACATCTCTCAGCACTTGGTAGCTATTGGGAAATAAACACACCATATCAACCAGTATCCAATTTCTTAAATTTGTTTTCTGCTTACATTGTTTTCTGCTGCCTATGCAGTTCTTTTCTTAACAAGACTAGCAGCTGTGGAGTAAAGTCCTTTTGGGAAAAGATATTCTATGCTTTAATGAAATTTTATGCAGACATTATGTTTGTGGAGACATTTCTAAAATAACATTCTCATCAACAATCTGAACACTAGTCTACAGCCCAAACTGCTGTTGTTCATTGCTCCACAAGCCCCATATCTTAGAAATCTAAAGATTTCTGAAGAAATCTAAAGATTAGATCTTAGAAATCTAAAGATTTCTACGATTCTAGGAGATCAAATTCAGCAACAGAAGACTAATTTGAAACTAAAACATTTCAAAGGTAAATATGAGCTTTATGCAAATTTAGTACTAACTGGAAGATGGAAGCATTGAATTCAATTGCTATAATTTACTTGAAAATAACTATAGATAACTTTTGCTCATCTCAAAGTAGTCATAATGAAGAATCAGAAAACAAAGCAAAGTTTGCTGAGCAATATCTAAAAGACCTGCATAGGTTTGCATGAAACATTACTCAAAAAACAAAAAGTTTGTGCTCTTTCTTTAGGATCTGAACTACTTCTTGTAAAGAACAACACTTTACAAAGAGATGAAAATAGTTTTAGATTATTTGGAGGGTTAAGGGATTACAGATAAAATGTTGAATTACTCCTTAAGAAGTGAAGCAAAATAGACAGGGAGGAAAATTTGAGAAATGTAAGAACTGCTATAGCAGGCTGTTGAAACAGGAAGACTACAAGAGCAATTTATTACTATGGCTTCTGCATCCCTCCCTCTATCTGCTGGTTTACTTTGCAGAAGATCTTGACGTTAAAAAAACCTAACAGTTTTCATGTGATCTTAGAAAGGAAATGAGTCTGTAGTGTCTAGATTCTATTGAGACTGCTTTTCATCAAGGTGGTAACTTGTGGTTTTAGTTTAAAAATAGTATTTTCTAAATACATCAAAAGATCTCCCTGCACAAGACCTTCTGAAATTGCTGCAATGCACAATCTAAACAAACCTGTTGGCACTGTCATCCAACGTTCGCTCAAACCACTGCACAGAGGCTGTTTGGAGGGGATCCAGCACCAGAGTCATCAGGTGTCGAGCCAGGCTGCAGCAGCGTTCTGAACGCATTGGATTCCTCTTGTAAGGCATAGCACTTGAACCTGTAAAAGGAGAAAAGAGTGATGGAAACAGGCCATAGAAGTAGTGCATTCAGGAAGAAGAGATGAAGGTCCTCCCCCAGATCAGAACGATGTGTCAGGAATCGTGTTTTTGACTAAAGTCTCAAAACATGATGATTTTCTAAGGACAAAATCGAATAAAGAAAACACCACCACTACACTTTCCCCCTTCAGATTAGAAACAGCCAACTGTGGGGAGAAAAAAAGCGAGAAGAGATTTTGCAATTCTGCAAAACAGAAGTAGTACTACCACATAAAAAGAACAAATGGACTTAATTTTTAATGCAGTATTTAGCACTGTTTCTCTAGGCTACCCATGGCAACTTTAGCTGTGTTCAAGACCCCATCTGCTCAATAACATTGTCCTTCAAACTTAGATACTTATACTGCTGCCCATTGCTCTGGTGAATGGATATCAAAACCAACCATAGAATGTAGAATGATTCAAGTAATAAATATGACTAAGGCTTAATTTGCCGATTCAATCCTATGCAACTATTTAGGGTGCCTGCCTGAACTTTCTTCCAGCCAAGAACCAAAACTCTTATGTTTCCTTCTCCCCTTCTACCAATGTCAGAATCACATCATTGGTATTCTTCTGGCAAGGGTCCAGCCTAGTTTCATTGTTCCAAATTTGTCTGTTTATAAAAAATAAGATGCTGAGTCAAGCTGAAAACCTACAGCTCCAGTTAGCTTCATGGGAAATAGAAAACACTAAGTACTCCTCAGACCCAACTCTTCCTCTGTGGGGAATACGTGACTGCTTCTGCTCTCCCCCCAAACCCAGGAAGTGCAGAAATACAAATCTGATTTTAATTACTTAATATCCAGAAACCTTTGGCTAAAGTGCATTTTTATTTTCCTTTAAAAAGGACCCAAAATACTAACAATGTCAAATTCCAGTTAATTTAAAGCAACTTCTGTCAGTGACATTTCTAAGTTTGCTTAAAAGGCTGCACCAACATAAATGAAAAGATACATACACCGGTCCAAGAAATGTCTCCCAGCCCTTACCAATCTGGTCTTTCTCGAAAGGCTCCTCTATCTCCTTCAGGTTGGCCAAAAGACGAATGTCAGTACAAATCTAGAAAAAAGCCCAAGAAATTAACAAACAGAACCAAACTAACACACAGCAATATATACTCCTGTCAGTGTTCTTGGAGAAGTGTTTGCATCTGTGTCCGAGAAGTAAATTGGGGGGACAGTGAAAAATTTGACAGAAAAATTGACACTGCAATCATACTTCCTGGCCTAAAAATCCCAGTCAAGAAAGCATATGGAAAAAAAAAGGTGTCCACTGTATTAGAATGGAACAGGACTCCAAGAAGGGCAAATGTTTGCAGGGAATGGAAGAGATACCAGGAGAGAACAGTGAAAATGCATAAAAAAAATTACATGGTGATTTGCAAACACAGATAATGTGTGCTCACTGAACCAGATAGCCCACAAAACTAAACCAGAAGAAAATACCACAGATCACTTTCGCCCAAGAGGAGGAGGGAGGGAACACAAATAAATCAATGAAAAGAATCCACAAGGACAGAGAGAATAACACCATTATCAGAGAAGCAATTAACTAGGAGCAAATGGTGAAATTTAAAAACTCACACACCACCAGGAAAGACGATTGCTCTAATTGGATCAATTTAGCATAGATTAATACCTAGTGTAGGATTTGTTAACCCATCTTAAAATCTGCTCAGTGAACTTGCTTTATTTGCCATTGGTCTTAAGATCTTTGAGATTTGATTATTAGGCATGTAGCCAGCAGTGAATTTACATGATCACAAAGAGAACAGCTGAACAAGGAACACCAATTAATATTTCTCAAGAACAGCATTCTGCACCATGAGTGCCTTCTCTTCAAGATCTAAAATGTTTCCCCTTCTTCCCAATGTATACAAATAGGGCACTCACCTTGTGTATAGATGCCCCAAGACTGGCCAGCACAGACAGGACTTCAATATCCACCTTGCGACTATAGGTCTGCCCTGTGACCATATAAGCCCTAAAAATAAGCACAGAAGTTGAGTGCTCCAGACAGATACAACTGTACTGCCAGACTTTGAGCAAGGAATGGCATAGCTCTTAAAGCGGAGGGTTGTCATTCTGCCCTGACGAGAACAACTTTGGATTCAGGCTGTCAATTTTGGGCAGCATGCAGATGGGAGAGACAAAAGCAGAGGGAAAATGGACAGCCGTGCTTTGACAGGGAGACGAGTAGAACTGGCCTATTTAGGAGGTGAAGTTTCCTGTGGGAAGCTGTGACTGGGAATGGAAGATGGTGAAGGGACGTAAGTCAACAGCAGCACAGATGTCAGTTTGGCAGCTAGGGGAATCTGGACCAACACGGACAGCAGGACTCACACTTTGTTAACACCAAATTTAGGTGACTAAGCATGCTTGTTACATACCGCTTAAATCCTGCCTTTGCAGTCACTAATCTGTCCAGCTCTTCAACCTCAGGGTGAAGAAAAAAACAAAACAAACAGGGCTCAGAATGCAACAACTCGGGGAGGTCAGCAACAGCAAAAAGGATCCTTTGCTTTTCTCCGTTTACTGTCAACAAATGTTATAATATACTTGCTGAGAAGCACCTCCTCCCCACATTCTGCTCACTGTCACACAGGGCCTTGTCAGTGGGCCCCAGAGGGATCGCAGTGCCCTTGTGAATTTGATGCTGGCATCTCCATGTTCCCCCAAACAGAACAGCATTCCACAGGGGAGAATTGCAAAGACTGCAAGGCTATGCCCTGGGCTGTCTGACTTACTTTACTATGGTCTCCCTCAAAGAGTTGCAAGAAGCTGGCTTGAGTGCCAGTGGTGCCTTTTACACCCCGAAAGCGCAGGTCATCCCGAGCCCGCTCCAGGTTCTGCAGGTCCATGCACAAGTCCTGAATCCACAAGCAGCAGCGTTTGCCTACAGTGGTGAGCTGTGCAGGTCTGAAAACAACCAAGAACAGAATGTGACTCATTGACAATTTGCACAACAACTCCAGAAGGACCACACTTTGCTGCTAGGTCTTACTGTTAAGACCTCCTTGCAGGTTGGTCTTTCTTACTCCGCTGAGCAGAAATTAAAAAGATCTGGCTTACGCAGGAAGATGTAACAGCACATATATATTGCCAGTAAATGGTACTGAAGATATGATCATTCTTTTCAGGAATTAGATGTAATTACATCAAGAGAAAACAGTAATTGTAGTTTCTGTAGGTGTTAAGGGATTAAGAACTAAGTGTGAATGGGTGTCTGAACGTGTTTCACTACTATTTAAGTTTCTTAAATAAAAGTGACCAGACGCCCACTAGTCAGAATATCTAGAACGGGTTCCACGGTGTTTTACCAGAACTCTGTCAAGCAGAAAAGCCTCAGTCGCGACAGTAATGCGACTTCTCCCCCGGCTCCCTCTTCCCGGGCTCCCCCTCTTCCTGACCCCCCCTCCCCTCTTCCC